TCTGTGACGGTTGTTGACAGCGAGAAGCCCAACTTTGTGAACACGCCGTTCACGGTTGAGCTTGGTGTTGATGGCACGGCGAATGCGCTTCCGTTCCACAATGACACGTGTGGCGTTGCCGACATTATCACGAGCCTTGAGGTTGCTGATTGTGCTGACGTTGCGACGTCACCGCACACCGTGAGTGTGTTTGTGACTGATGTGAACGGGCAGTTCCGCAATGGCGATGTTGAGGTGACTGTTGTTGACACGCTGAGCCCGAATGTGACGACACAGTCTGCTGTTGTGACGCTTGATGCGTCTGGGACTGGCAGCCTGAGCGCGAGCGAGGTGATTGCGAGCAGCGAGGACAACTGTGCTGTTAGCGACTCGAGCGTTGACCGGACGAGCTTTGGGTGCGCTGATCTGAATGCGACTCAGACTGTGCTTGTGACGGTTGAGGATGCGAGCGGGAACACTGCGAGCGGGCAGGCGAGCGTGACTGTTGTTGATGTGACGTCGCCTGTGCTGAGTGTTGCACCGAGCGTGAATGTTGTGCTGAACGGCAGCGGCGTTGGCGTGCTCACAGTTGGGGACGTTGAGGTGAGCTCGAGCGATGCTTGTGGTGTTGACACGCGCAGCCTGTCACAGACGGTGTTTGGTTGTGCTGCAGCGCTGACGTCCAACGAGGTGACGCTGGTTGTGGCTGATGGGAGCGGGAACAGCGCGAACGGGACGAGCACGGTTGTTGTGCAGGACAACGAGTCTCCTGTTGTGACGGCTGTTGCGAGCCTTGAGGTGTTCCTGAACAGCAGTGGCGAGTATGAGGTGTCTGTTGGCTCGACGTACGACTCTGTGAGCGACAACTGCGGTGCTGATGTGACGCTGTCGCAGTCGCTGTTTACGTGCGCTGATCTGAGCGGCGTGACGATCACGCTGACGGCGACGGATCCGAGCTCGAACACCGGCACGGACACGCTTGCAGTGACTGTGACTGACAACGAGTCTCCGACGCTGACTGTTGCTGGCGCGTTCAGTGTTTCGCTGAACAGCACTGGGCAGTATGGTCTGACGACTGGGGAGATTGTGACGTCGAGCGCTGACAACTGCGCTGTTGCGAGCGTTGAGGCTGACTGGGATGTGTTTACGTGTGCCGACACTGGTGCGCAGACTGTGACTGGCACTGTGACGGACACGAGCGGCAACACTGACTCGTCGACTGTGACGGTGACTGTTGAGGACAACGAGTCTCCTGTTGTGACGGCTGTTGCGAGCCTTGAGGTGTTCCTGAACAGCAGTGGCGAGTATGAGGTGTCTGTTGGCTCGACGTATGACTCTGTGAGCGACAACTGCGGTGCTGATGTGACGCTGTCGCAGTCGCTGTTTACGTGCGCTGATCTGAGCGGCGTGACGATCACGCTGACGGCGACGGATCCGAGCTCGAACACTGGCACGGACACGCTTGCAGTGACTGTGACTGACAACGCGTCGCCCACTGTGAGCAGCGTTGCGAACTATACTGTTGTGCTTGACGGCAATGGCAACGGCGTCATCACGAGCGGCAGCCTGTCTGCTTCGAGCGCTGACAACTGCGCAGTTGCGAGCGTCGACCTTGATGTTGACACGTTCACGTGCGGGAACATCAGCAGTGTGATTCCTGTGACCGTGACAGCGACGGACACGTCTGGGAACACGGCGACATCGCGGACGTATGTGACGGTTGTGGATCAGGATGCACCTGTGATGACGACAGTGAGCAGCATTACGGTTGAGGTTGGCATTACTGGGCAGGCTGTGCTGATGGCGAACGATGTTGTTGTGTCATCGAGCGACAACTGCGAAACAGTGACGTTCAGTCTGAACCAGACGCTGTTTGACTGTGATGATGTGAGCACGAGCCCGCATGTGGTTCTTGTGACGGCGACGGACAGCAACGGGCTGACTGCGACGTCGGAGGTGTCTGTGACGGTTGTTGACAGCGAGAAGCCCAACTTTGTGAACACGCCGTTCACGGTTGAGCTTGGTGTTGATGGCACGGCGAATGCGCTTCCGTTCCACAATGACACGTGTGGCGTTGCCGACATTATCACGAGCCTTGAGGTTGCTGATTGTGCTGACGTTGCGACGTCACCGCACACCGTGAGTGTGTTTGTGACTGATGTGAACGGGCAGTTCCGCAATGGCGATGTTGAGGTGACTGTTGTTGACACGCTGAGCCCGAATGTGACGACACAGTCTGCTGTTGTGACGCTTGATGCGTCTGGGACTGGCAGCCTGAGCGCGAGCGAGGTGATTGCGAGCAGCGAGGACAACTGTGCTGTTAGCGACTCGAGCGTTGACCGGACGAGCTTTGGGTGCGCTGATCTGAATGCGACTCAGACTGTGCTTGTGACGGTTGAGGATGCGAGCGGGAACACTGCGAGCGGGCAGGCGAGCGTGACTGTTATTGATGTGACGTCGCCTGTGCTGAGTGTTGCACCGAGCGTGAATGTTGTGCTGAACGGCAGCGGCGTTGGCGTGCTCACAGTTGGGGACGTTGAGGTGAGCTCGAGCGATGCTTGTGGTGTTGACACGCGCAGCCTGTCACAGACGGTGTTTGGTTGTGCTGCAGCGCTGACGTCCAACGAGGTGACGCTGGTTGTGGCTGATGGGAGCGGGAACAGCGCGAACGGGACGAGCACGGTTGTTGTGCAGGACAACGAGTCTCCTGTTGTGACGGCTGTTGCGAGCCTTGAGGTGTTCCTGAACAGCAGTGGCGAGTATGAGGTGTCTGTTGGCTCGACGTATGACTCTGTGAGCGACAACTGCGGTGCTGATGTGACGCTGTCGCAGTCGCTGTTTACGTGCGCTGATCTGAGCGGCGTGACGATCACGCTGACGGCGACGGATCCGAGCTCGAACACTGGCACGGACACGCTTGCAGTGACTGTGACTGACAACGAGTCTCCGACGCTGACTGTTGCTGGCGCGTTCAGTGTTTCGCTGAACAGCACTGGGCAGTATGGTCTGACGACTGGGGAGATTGTGACGTCGAGCGCTGACAACTGCGCTGTTGCGAGCGTTGAGGCTGACTGGGATGTGTTTACGTGTGCCGACACTGGTGCGCAGACTGTGACTGGCACTGTGACGGACACGAGCGGCAACACTGACTCGTCGACTGTGACGGTGACTGTTGAGGACAACGAGTCTCCTGTTGTGACGGCTGTTGCGAGCCTTGAGGTGTTCCTGAACAGCAGTGGCGAGTATGAGGTGTCTGTTGGCTCGACGTATGACTCTGTGAGCGACAACTGCGGTGCTGATGTGACGCTGTCGCAGTCGCTGTTTACGTGCGCTGATCTGAGCGGTGTGACGATCACGCTGACGGCGACGGATCCGAGCTCGAACACCGGCACGGACACGCTTGCAGTGACTGTGACTGACAGCGAGTCTCCTGTCATCACGGATTTCGGCTCTGGTACAGTGATGCTCAACTCTACCGGTGCATCCGACGTTTCATTTTTCGCAAACGCGTCCGACAACTGCGCTGTTGCGGCATCGTATGCTGTTCCTGCGTTTGTGACATGCGCGGATCTTGGCTCGGTGAACGTCACGTTGTTCGCGTCCGATTCATCGTCCAACGTTGCATCTGTTGAGTCGTCCGTCCTTGTCCTCGACACGGAGGCGCCTGTGCTCTCCCTTCTGGCTTCAACGACTGTCACGTTGTCTGCGGCAGGCGATGTTGTTCTTAACCACACTGACGTTGTGTCATCCCTGACTGACAACTGCGCAGCTTCGCTGGCCGACGTTGAATCGAGCTGGACTTGCTCCAACGTGAACCAAACAAACAACCTCACCATTGGCGCCGTCGATGCCAGCGGCAACTTTGACTATGCTTCCATGGACGTGACTGTTCTGGATGCTACTGCACCTGTTGTTTCGACACAGAACGTGACGTTGGAGCTTGACTCCTCCGGTATGACGTCTGTGACTGAAGCGGACGTCGTGGTGTCGACTGCGGATGCCTGCGGTGTGAGCAGCGTGTCCTTGTCGGTTACATCGCTGACGTGCTCTCAGGCAAGCATTCCTCAGACCATCACTGTGTCTGCCACGGACGGTAGTGGCAACGTCGGCACTGCCACTGCTGTTGTTACGGCGGTGGACACAATCTCGCCGGAGTTTTCTGTTGTGTCGTCCCGCGTGGTGCAGCTTGGCAGTGCGGGCTTTGGAACCCTGAGCCCATCTCAGGTAATCACGAGCATGAGCGACAACTGTCAAGTGTCGCACGCCAACCTGTCCCAGACAGTGTTCACGTGCGTTGACGTTCAGGACGATGCCCACGACATTGTTGTGAGCGTGACAGACATTCACAACAACACGGCCACAAAGGTTGTGCAGGTGTATGTTCGCGATCCCGTCGACCCGGAGCTGCTTGCACCCGATGTTGTGCTTGATCTGGACGCGTCTGGCCGCGCGACACTGGACGCCAACACCAGCGATGCGTGCGGTGTTGTGCAGGAAATTGTCAGCAAGTCTGTGTTCAAGTGCGCCGATCTCGGCCATGAGGACGTGAACCTGTTTGTGAAGGACAGCAACGGCAACTCGTACAGCGGCCTGATTGGCGTTGACGTGCGTGACACCATCGCGCCGACGTTCAGTGTTGAGCCGCGCTACAACGTGTCACTGGATGCGTCTGGCAGCGGCAGCATTGACACGGCCACAGTCATTCTCGGCGCCGACGACAACTGTGAGGTGGTGGAGCAAACGCTGAACCAGACAGACTTCACGTGTGCCGACCGCGGTGTAAACCTGCTGCTTGCCACTATCATGGATGTGGCGAATCTGACAACATCGCATGTGACGGAGGTCCTCGTTGAGGATCTCCTTTCCCCCGTGCTCTCTGTACGGCCGTCCCTGACGGTTGAGCTGAATGCGACTGGCGAAGCTGCTGTCACGGTAGCGGACCTTGACTTGGGTACTGACGACAACTGCGGCATTTCCTCCCTGGCCATCTCCACGGACATGTACGCCTGTGCCGATCTTGGTCCGCAGACGCTGACGTTCTCCGCGACGGACACCACTGGCCTTGTGTCGACGGCCACCGTGAACATCACTGTTGAGGACAACATTCTGCCCGACGTGACTGTGCAGGACGTGACGCTTGTGCTGAACAGCACCGGCCAGGCCAGCGTTGCGCCCGCCGACGCGATTGCGAGCTCTTCGGACAACTGCGGTGTTGTGTCGACATGGATTGAGCCGAGCAGCGTTGACTGCAGCCACCTGGGCACCGTGCCCGCAACCGTGTACCTTCGCGATGCAGCCGGCAACGTGCAGAGCGCGTCACTGACGCTGACTGTTGAGGACAACGAGGCTCCTGTTGTGAGCGTCGTTGGCTCTCACAGTGTCACGCTTGACAGCAACGGCGCTGCATCTGTGTCTGTTGGCACGCTCATCACCTCCTCCACGGACAACTGCGCCGTGGATGTGGAGAACGTGACGCAGTCTGCATTCTCGTGCTCTGACGTGGGCCCCGTCCCCGTGACGGTCTCCGTGTACGATGTTGCTGGCAACAGCGACTCTGCGGCGGTGACGATCACGGTCAGTGACACCCTTGCGCCGACGTTGGTGACGCAGGATGTGACAGTGTCTCTCAACGCGACTGGGCAGCGCACGTTCTTGCCTTCCGAAGCGATTTCGTCACTGGACGACAACTGCGGCATTGCCAGCACCACTGCCAACAACACGCTCTTCTCTTGCAGTGACACTGGCGTCAAGTTTGTGGAGATTGCCTCAACGGACGTGAACGGCCTGACCACAACGGAGACGGTTCAAGTGACTGTGGAGGACGACACGCCACCCACGGTCACAGCCGTAGCGGCGTACAACCTGACGCTCGGCGCGAACGGCCTTGCCACACTGTCGGTTGGGGACGTGCTGCTGACGGAGAGCGACAACTGCGGCATCAGCCGTCGTTTGCTGGACATGGAAGTGTTTGGCTGCAGTGACGTGAACCAGACCCACACGGTGACGCTGACCGTGTTTGACACGTCCGAGCAGCCTGCATCCACGACCATTGAGGTGCGCGTGCTTGACAGCGGGCTACCGGACATCAACACGGCGCCGACGACTAAGGTGCTCAACAGCGGCGGGCACGTGTCCCTGCAGCCGAGCGACGTGAACAGCGGGTCCACGGACGTGTGTGGCGTGCTCGGCTCCTCCGTGTCGCCGTCTGCGTTCTCGTGCGCCGACGTTGGTGTCAACGTGGTGACCTTGACCGTGACTGACGTGTATGGCAACGCCAACTCCGCACAAGAGAACGTGACCATCGTGGACCAGACCGAGCCAACGGTGGGCGTGCTTCAAGGCGTGACTCGCACGCTGAGCGCAGCCGGCACAGGCACGCTTGCTGCCAGCAACCTGGACGACAGCACGAGCGACGCTTGCGGCATTGCGTCTCTGAGCGTGAACCAGACTGCGCTGACCTGCGCGGACGTGGGCACTATTTCCGTGCTCTTCACCGCTGTCGATGTGAACGGCAACAACGCGTCGACGGTGGTGGATGTTGCTGTGGTGGACAGCACGGCGCCGTCGCTGAGCCTGACGGACGTGGTGGTGCAGCTCAACTCGAGCGGCCTCGCATCCATCAACCGCACGCTCGTCGACACGGGCACCACGGACGCTTGCGGCATTGCCTCGTTTGTGCTGTCTGACACTGAGTTTTCGTGCGCGACTGTTGGAGACAACAGCGTGACGGTGACGGTGACGGACGTGAACGGCAACGTGGCCACGGACACCATCAATGTGCACGTGGTTGACACGCTGCTGCCCAACGTGGTGACGCAGCCGGCCACGCTTGTGCTGAACGGCACGACTGGAACGGCCGAGCTGAGTGCCGACCAGGTGGACGGCGGCTCCAACGACGCATGCGGCGTTGTGCTGACGACGGTGAACCAGACGCTGTTCACGTGCGAGCATGCTGGTGTGAACACGGTCAACCTGACGGTGCACGATGCGTACGGCAACACTGCATCGGACACCGCGCTGGTGACGGTGAACGATGAGACAGCGCCGGTTGTGCGCGCGTCCATCTCCCAGGTGACGCTGAATGCCAGCGGCATGGCGGCGCTGCTGCCGACAGATGTCGATGCGGGCTCGTCGGACGTGTGCGGCGTGGCGCAGCTGAGCCTGGACGTGACGCAGCTCACGTGCGCCGACGTCGGCGTGCAGAACAACACGCTGTACGCGGCTGACGCTGCCGGCAACGTTGGCTCGCTGCAAGTGAACTACACCGTGGTGGATGTCACGGCACCGACAGTGCCGCTTCGCGCGGAGTATGTCGTGGAGCTGAACGGCACCACGGGCACGCACGTGTTTGATGCCGCCGCCCTGAGCGAGAACGCTACAGACGCGTGTGGCGTTTCAGATGCGTTTGTTCTTCCGGCGCAGGTGACGTGCTCGATGGTTGGCCAGAACAACACGGCCACCGTGTATGTGGACGATGTGAACGGCAACCGCGGCTCCAGCAACACGAGCATTGTTGTTCTTGACCGCGTGGCACCCGTGCTTGCGCTGAAGACCAATTACTCGTTTGTGCTCAACGAGACTGGCGTTGCCGTTGTGGACCCAACGGCCCTGGACGGCAGCACGTTTGACGCGTGCGGCTTTGAGTTGAGCAGCAACGTGTCGACGGTGACATGCGCGCAGCTGACGGAGAGCGTGCCTGTTGTTGTGAGGGCGACTGACCCGTCTGGCAACAGTGTCAACGGCACCATTTATGTTGGCGCGCTTGATCAGACGCGGCCGACGCTGAGCGTAAGCCCGCTGAGCATCACGCTGGATGCTGACCAGAGCTACACGCTGAGTGTGGACGAGGTGACGGCGACCTTTGCCGACGCTTGCGGTGTTGTGTCGCAGCAGCTGAACCAGACGGAGTTTACGTGCGCGGATGTTGGTGTGCAGCCTGTGCTGTACACGGTGTTTGATGCCTCTGGCAACAAGCGCACAGCCGTTGTGGACGTGACTGTGCTCGACAGCACCAGCAACCCGTGCCCGTTTGCCGTGGACTGTGTGATGAGCAAGTGGATGGATGCCACGCCGTGCTCGGTGTCATGCGGTGGACACGGCACCTACCTGCAGAACCGCTCTGTTCTCGTCCAACCGGAGAATGGTGGCATGGAGTGCCCGGCCCAGCGCAACCGCACTCTGCCCTGCATCCGGCCCGCTTGTCGTAAGTTTGCTTGCTTGCTTTTGCTTGCTCGCTCACTGTGTCTTTTGTGTTTGTGTTTATGGCTGTGTGCTCATGTGTGTGCTTGTCTGTCTTCCTGTGGTTGCATTGCATGCCTGTGTGTTGTCTGACGCTCTGGTCTCCTGCCGCTCATGTGCGTTGATTGTGCTCATTGCTCATGATACGACTGTGTTTCCCCACTTGTTTCTCTGTGTTTGCTGTGCCCTTGCTGCCCTGGAACAACAACAGCTCGCCAGAAGAGCTTCCGCGTGGTTGGCACGTACCGCTTTGTTGAGCAGACGCTGGACGACTGGACGCCCGGGATGACGCAGCGGCTGATCGACGCCGTGTGCAACGCGACAAATTCATTTGTGGACTGCGGGCAGGTGAACGTGACGTCCCTGCGCGCAGGCAGCGTGATTGCAGAGGTGTCTGTGGACGCCATTGCGGAAGAAATTGACGCGGACGAGGTTCGCCGTGTCATAAGCGATTTCGATGTGGACCTCCCTGCCTCCTTTGGCTCGTACTCTGTCACGGTGGAGCAGGAAACCGAAAACGTCAGCTCGGGCTCCAGTGCGCTGGACAGCACGTGGGGCACGGCGGGCGTTTCGCTGTTTGCGGTTGCGCTGGTGGTGCTGATTGTCGTGTCGGTGATTGTGTATCGCCGGCGTGCGCGCAATGCGGCCTCCAAGAGCCGCGTCACAGTGACGCACGGCAATGCGCAGGCGGCGTGGGATGCGCTCAAGCGCGACCTGACCAAGCCCAAGACGCGCGTGCGGGACCAGGCGTCGCTGGTGCAGTTTGCCGACCGCCGCGCAAGCCAGACCATCAGCCCACGGCAGCCCATGACGCAGCGCACGCAGCGCACCAAGCCGTCCTTCCCGCGCGTGAAGCGCAACGCTGTGGCGGACATGCCGGACAGCTCGCCGCAGCCGCAGACGCAGACGCACTCGCTCAAGCGCTCCACCTCTGACTCGCGCGGCCCAGGCAGCCCGCTGCCTGGCGAAGGGCCACGCACGGCGGCCAACCTACAGATGCCGACGCTGCCTACGAGCCCTGCCGGGCGCATGGACCTTCCCGGCCAGACGACCGGGGGCATGGCGTTCCCCGGCAGCCCCGTGATGCAGGCGCCCACCAGCTCAAAGACGCAGGTGCCGACGTTCCAGAAGCCAAACTTTGGCAGCGAGAAGCGCAGCAAGGGCAGCCCGCTGATGCAGCGCAAGGCACGTGGCGATCCGTTTGGAACCCTTGAGCGCGGGGCCAACATGCAAGGAGGCGGGCGCACGTCGCCTGTGCTGTCGCCGCCACCGGGTGTGCAGGGCACCATGCGCCAGGGACCACCGCCCTCGCTTGGCTTCCCCGTTCCGCCAAAGCCGCCGACGTTTGCGGATCCGTTTAGCGAGCAGCGCCGCACCAACATGCCGCCCATGATGCCGGGCATGCCGCCACCGTCACTCGGTGCTGCTGGCCCGCGCACCAACATGCCCAGCTTCCCTGCCCGCCCCGGACCAAAGGCTGGTGGTGGCGGCGGTGGTGGCGCGACCATGACCATGCCTGGACGGCCAACCCCGCGGCAGCCGCAGCGCAAGGATGGTGGTGGCGACAACGACGGCGGCGATAACAATCACGGCGAGGAGTCCACAGCTTGAGCTGTTGCAACTGTGACTTGACGCAACTTGTGTTTGTGTTGTGTTTGTGTTGTTGTTGTTTTTGAGTTTCATGTGTTAGCGCTGAGATGCGTATGGCGCGAGCGTGAGGGAGGGCGAGTGGGTGAAGGGGGCAAGGGGAGGCGGAGCGAATGTTTGTTGGTGTTGTGATTGTGCCAAGATGGTCGTGGTGGTGTTTGCATGTGTGTGTAGTGTGTGTGCGTGTGTGTGCGTTTGTGAAGAGGAGTGGCGGGCAAGCGAGGCGAGCGAGCAAGCAGCACGGTGATGCCAACGGTGTTGCCGGGCTGTTTGTTCTGCTTGCAGTTGCAGCGCCACCACAAACATGATGGCTGGCCCATGGATGGGTGGATTTGTTTGTCATGTCTTGTTTTTGGGGTGTGGGGCAAAGGCGAATGTTTGTTACACGCGTGTTCGTGTTCCTGCGTATCCTAGCTGTTGTATCCTTGGCGTGAATTTGTGGAGTGGACAAGCAGACAACAAAGTTGTCACGTCTCTTCATACTCTTGTGTTCTTTCGTGTTCTTCACTAGTCCTTTTTTGTGTGGGCACGTGCGCCCTGTGACGCGTCCACTTGTGTGTGCATGCGTGCATTGATTGGTTCATCTTGCTGTGTTTCGTGGTTTTCTGTCTTCACCGCAAGTGTTTTTTCCTTCTTTTCTGACGTGAGCCACTCGTTGAGTGGCGGTCCATAAACGCTTGTTCCAACATTTTTTTCACGGACTGTAATGGGAGTCGAACAGGTGTGTGTGCGACAAGTGCTTTGGAACTGGAGAAGAGATGTGGAGAGTGTTTGACGAGCGTGACGTGATTGTAAATCGAAGCAGGAGTTGTGAAACGTGCAAGTCAGAGTCGGCACAAAAGGCCGATGCGGTGGACCGGGGGGGGGGGAGGAACATCACACACTGCAAGAAGGCGAGCAAGGAACATGGTGCGAAGAGCCACAACGTGCGCACGCGCTGAATGAGTGTGCGTGCGTGTGTGCGTGCGTGTTTGGTGGGGTTTCCCCCAAGGAGGAGCGCAGCGGCTACTGGATGTAGTCGTTGGCGGTTGGGCAATATGCCTTTGGAGGCTTGAGGGGGTCAATGTTGTTCTTCTTCTGGCTTGGGGGCGTGAACATGTTGTTCCACACGCCAACAGCAAAGCCCTGATCCGTGCACAGACTCGGGTGGAAGCAGTCCAAGTCGGACAGCAGATCCTGCACAATGGACGGCGGGTACTTGTCAAGGGCAACGTCCTATTGGTGAGTGAGTGAGTGAGTGAGTGAGGGAGTGAGTGAGTGAGTGAGTGAGTGAGTGAGTGAGTGAGTGAGTGAGTGAGTGAGTGAGTGAGTGAGTGAGTGAGTGAGTGAGTGAGTGAGTGAGTGAGTGAGTGAGTGAGTGAGGGAGTGAGCGAGTGAGTCAGTGAGTGAGTGAGGGAGTAAGAGGGAGTAAGAGGGAGTAAGAGGAAGTAAGTGAGGGAGGAGGGAGTTACATTTGCAAAAGCGCATGCAACCAAACAGATTGTAGAGCAAATTTAGGTACTATAGGCTAACCTCAACAGCTGGCTGAACAACAACCGTGAAGTGCGGGTCCTTCAGGGCCGCAAACTTCGCAGCCACCTCACGTGTGACCTGCGAGCAGGCGAGATTGTGTGAATATGTGTGTGTGTGTGTGTGTGTGTGTGTGTGTGTGTGTGTGTGCACGAAACAGAACCGGGGGTTTCGCGGCCAACGCGTGAGTGGTGGTGGTGGTGGTGGTGTTGGCGGCATCATGCATGACCCATGGTCAAGGCGCTGAAGTCCAATGGAGACAATGGGCATCAACAGCACATCGCGTCGCATTCGCACCTGGTTGACGGCCATGCCAAGATCGTCCATGCGCTGGCGGTTGGTCGCGTTTGCCTCGAGGCAGCTGCACTCGTGCAGAATGGGCACGGCGGCCTGGCAGTACAGCCGGTCCTTCTTCACGTCCCACACGTTGGAGATGTTGAAGATGGTCATGATGTTGACAAAGGTCTTGGGGAATGTCTGGTGAACCATGGTGAGCGCCTCGGTCAGCTGTGTGCGGAACTGATCTGCAGTCATGCTCTTGCACTCGCAGATGTCGTTCGCCTGTGTGTGGTTGGGGGGGGGTGTTGTTATGGAAGGAAAATAGCGTGAGCGTGTGCATGAGTGTGCATGCGGGCGTGTGTGTAATCTTGAAGATCCATGTGAACGAGCGAGCGCATGTGGTTGGGAGTGGTTGCGGGCTGGGTCTGGTGATAGGTGGATGCGTGTATGGCACAAATTGGCGAAGCAAATCAGCGGTCGAGTCACACGACAGCCGCACAACAGAGGGTACAACAGAGCATGACAACAGAGCATGACAACATACGCCAATGAAGATGGTGAGGAGCTTCCACTTGTCCTTGACGTCGGCGTACTCGGAGGAGTTGAGCTTGGCAGAGAGGCGCTGAATCTGGCCAGGGACATCCCGCACACGGGCTTCGCTCACGGCAAAGTTGAGGCCCTTGCCTGCCTTTGTGAGGGGAATGGTCTCACCCTTGGCGCGGCCCTTGATGTCCGGGTTGTAGTGGGAGAGGAAGTTGCCGATGGTGAAGGCGCCGTCATCGCCGCCAGTGGAGTATACCGTGCCACGGTACTCCAATGGGCCGTCCTGCATGGCAAATCCCGCCGTGATAGAGTCACCTGCATGCAGGAAGGCGCACGAGCATGCACATGTGAGTGGTTGTGCGTGTGTATATGGTTGCGTGTGTGCATGGGTGTGTGTGTGTGTGCATGGGTGTGTGTGTGTGCATGTGTGTGTGAGTGTGTGTGTGTGTGTGTGTGTGTGTGTGTGTGTGCGTGGATGTTTGTACACGTGTGGATGTTTGTACACGTGTGGATGTTTGTGCACGTGTGGATATTTGTGCACGTGTGGATGGTTGCACACGTGACCTCGTGGCAATGTGCATGAAGTCGACTGCTACAGTGGTTGCGTCACTGACCGAGGGCCATGACGGCCGCGATGTTGCCTGGCTTCAAGTGCAGCACATCCTGAGGCTCCGGTGGACGCTCCAGCGCTGCCAGCAAGTGAGTGAGTGAGTGAGTGAGTGTGTGTGTGAGTGAGTGAGTGAGTGAGTGAGTGAGTGAGTGTGCGTGCGTGCGTGCGTGCGTGTGTGTGTTTGTGTTTGTGTTTGTGTGTTGTGTTTGTGTTTGTGTTTGTGTGTTTTGTGTTTGTGTGTTGTGTTTGTGTGCATTGTGCCCTTCAGTGTTGTGGTGGTGCTGTCATTTCACGCACAATCGCGGCTGTGAAGACGCAAGCGCACACGCATCCAGGGAGAACAAGCTCTCAAGCGCACACGAATGGATGTATTACTCACAGGGACAGCTGAAGGGGGAGAAGCCAGGGGGAGGGCAGGTGAAGTTGGCAGCCGCACTGCCACTCAACACAGCCACAGCCACGATCGCCGCAAACACAAACACAGCAGTACGCCGCGCCATCGTCGCCAGTGTTGTTGTTTTGGAGGAAGGAAGGAGTGGTGAAATAATTGTGCTGTCGGATACAGTTGCAATCCGGAGCCAGCGATGATGGGCGACGACGATGATGAGCCCAACAAGCAAACGCAGCAAGAAGCAGCCACGGGAAAACGATGAGGAAAAAGAAAGGGTGACAGCGCAAAGGCAACATGCAGCAAGCTCTTACAATCGTACGACGTAAACAAGGAGAACAAAGAGACAGAGGGAGGCGGAAAGAGAGAGAGTGTGTGTGCGTGTGTGTGCGTGTGCGTGGATGTGTGCGTGGATGTGCATGTGTGCATGTGCATTGTAATATTTGTACATGTGCATGCATCTCACATCGAGATGTCCCAAGTTGCACCAACACCTGCCCCACTCCTTTCGCCTCCGTCCCACTCTTTTCACACCCTCCCACTCCCATCAACACCATCTCACTCTTCTCATGACCCCAAACTACCCAACCAACAGACATTTCCCAGCTGAAACTGCCTGTTGGGTTGAAGGAGGAGCAGTTGTTGGTGTACGAGGGATGCGCGTGCAGCACAGCGGGTACGCAGTCCACATGTGTGGCCCAGTGTGCATGCGCGCTGAGGTCGCGACCAGGACTCGTTCGGTTCGAGTGCAGCGATGCTTGCAGCTGCGATCCGGAAACATGCGCACAGCGAACGTGCCAACGGCCTTCCAAGGCGGCACCACATTTGGTCGTCTTCGACTGCGGCGGCAGCAAAGGGCACGGGCTCAAGACCACTTGCGCCATCCCCCGCGATGCGTTCGTGCTGCTCTACCTTGGTGAGGTCATCTCCCTCCCAGAGGCCCGGCGCAGGGCTGCCAAACAGGACAGGGATGGGCGACCCACCTACCTGATCAGGCTGCAGGAGCATTCCACAGGATCACAAGCCCGCACGATCGTCACCTGCGTCGATGCAGAGATGTATGGCAACGAAGCGCGCTTCATCAACCACTCCTGCAGCCCCAACTTGCGCCTGGAGGTGGTGCGCTGGCACTTTATTCCGCACATTGCGTTGTTTGCCTCACGCGACATTGCTGATGGAGAGGAGCTGACCTTTGACTATGGCGTGGCTGATGCTGCTGCTGGTGATAGTGGTGATGATGATGGTGATGATGATGATGATGATGATGATGATGATGATGATGATGATGATGATGATGATGATGATGATGCTGCTGCTGGTGATAGTGGTGATGATGATGGTGATGATGATGATGATGATGATGATGATGATGATGATGATGATGATGATGATGATGATGATGATGATGTCGGGGGTGCTGTCGGGGGTGACGTTGGTATTGTAGGCAAAGAGGCTCTTGGTGTCGGGCCGTCCCGCACCCCCTGTTTGTGTGGGGCATCCGTATGCCGCGGGTTTCTTCCCCGCCACGACTTTGGACCCACCAGCTAGCCTGAGCGCCTGCGCGCACTCGCGTATGCGCGTGTTCATGTGGGTAATCCGCACGCGTGTGCACGTCACAATGTGTATATCGTGGTGTGTATATCGTGGTGTGTACATCGTGGTGTGCATTGGTTTCCACATGCACACGTTATTTCGCGCTCTCTCTCTCTCTCTGTCTGTCCGTCTGTGCCTTGTTACGTGTGCGTGTAGGTGGTACACAGTGGCCGAGGCGTTGCCTTTGCGTGTGCTATTGAAGTGCTTGAAAACATGGCAGGTGCCTTTGTGCTGAGTGGCATTTATTTACATCGTCGTTCACAACGTCCTGTACACGCACACCTGCGGAAAAACAAACTCATAAACGAACACAGCCACAAGACAAGACGACAAGGCCTACAAGGCCCCAATTACACAACACAACCAGCACTCAACAAACTGCAAACAAACTTACATAACACACCATGTGATATAAAATAAAGCAGAGGGTCAGCACACACACACACACACACACACACACACACACACACACACACACACACACACACACACACACACACACACACACACACACACACACACACACACACACGCATCAAAGGACAGACAGAGACTCTGAGAAACAAATGAAGAACAACAAAAAACCAAGTCAACGCTTAATCACGTCACTTCCAGCAAGTACGAGGGTTCATTAGCACAACCAAAACCCCCCAAAACGCGTACCATGCATCAGCGCAGCATCCTCGACACGCGAGGCACAGAGGCACATGCTGTCGTGCCGTCTCTGTGCGTTGATTCACTCGACTCAGTGCGGGCCACTCGCTCACCCACTCACTCACATGCGTACTCACCCACCCACACCCACTCACTCGCATGCGTACTCACTCGCCCATACCCACATCCATACACTCACATTCACTCACCCGCAGTCACACACTCACATTCACTCACCCGCAGTCACACACTCACGTTCATTCACCTACACACATCGTCCAGACATCGCCAGCACTGTCACCAGGACGGCCGCATCACAGCCACCAGAGGCGCCCCTACTCTCCCCTGCCCCACCGCACACCGGTCGACAGCTCGCGCATCAGCACTCGGTGAGCGGGGGCATGTCAACCCAAGCGCGGCAGTCAATGGCACCACACAGACACGGCGCCTTGTCGTCATCGTCCATCTGGTGCTTGTAGTCGTACGTCAGCTCCTCCCCAGCGCGAATGTCCCGTCGAGCAAAGATGACCACATACGGCTGGCCCTCAATGTCAATCTCCTCGCTGCAGCAGTTGGGGTCGCACGAGTGGTTGATGAACCGCGTCCAGTTGCCCTGCAGCGTCGCGTCAATCACCACCGTGTTGTTGCCAACACTGAACATGTAGCAGCCAAGCCCGCGGTCACGGTACTCGCCCTCGCGCACATCCGCCAGCGTCGTGCGGAAGCGCACACCAGCGTACTCCGCAACGCACTCGCCCGCCTTGAAGTCCTGCTCCGCATACAGCCCGTGGCCCGAGATGCGTGACCGACCAACGCGAAGCTTGCTCTTGCGCATCTTGGCCAGCGCACGCGCCTCAATCCGCTCGCTCGGCAGCCGCTCCACCGTGTATGCGCGCGTGGGCCGCCGCCGGGGCTTGATGCGGTGCAGGGCGTGCGGCACCTCCCGCGCTGCATACGTGAGCAGCCGCTCGAGGTTGCGGGCGGCGGCGCTGCGGACCGGCTGCAGGCGCGTGGGCACGTCAAGTGGCGGCGGCGGCGGCATCAGAGCCTCAATCGGGTTGTGCCGGCCAAGCTCGTCGTGGTGCCGGTACGCCTGGCAGCGGGCAGCGCCAGGCCGAAACTCCAACAGCCGCATGATTGGCGTGTCAAGCCCAAACCACCACAGGCCGTTAAACGGCACGGGCACAGCGTCTTTGTCCTTGTTGCCGTTGGCACTGTTGTCACCATGGGACGCACTGTCACTTAAGCGGTGCTCGCGACCAGCATTAACAGCAGCAGTGGTGGTGGCGGTGGTGGTGGCGGCAGCAGTGGCGGCGGCAGTGGCGGTGCCTTCCTCTTCCGCAGCAGCGATAGCAGGCGGTTCGGCAGCCTTTGTACCAGCGATCTGCGCTGGCTTGTGCGTGTGCACCTGTGCATGCTGTGCCACATTTGTTGCCTTTTTCTCCACCAATGTCGACGCATGCACAGATGAGGACGCATCCGCATCGCTGTTGTTGTTGTTGTTGTTGTTGTTGTTGTTGTTGTTGTTGTTGTTGTTGCGTGCGGTCGAGATAACGCGTATCACGGCATCAACGGTTTCCAACATGCGCTTGCGGGACGACACCGTGTCCTCGTTCAACTCCTTCGTGGACTCCTGCATCGTGCCTTCCTTCCTCGTCTCCTGCTTCGTCTTCTTCTCACCCGTCTGGTTCGTCTCCGTCTCTGCGGCGCTGACGCCTGCCCCCGCTGTTGTCGGCGCAGCTGCCGTTTCTCTTGCTTGCACTGGCGGACACGGCTTCTCAGGCAACGACAGCCGCACACCGGCAATGCGCAGGAACGCAACAGCTGTCTTCAGCGGGGTCGCACACGTGAAGTCCACAATTGTGGCGCTGCCATCGCTCACAGTCACCTTAAACTCGGGCCGGTGCCGTGACGCCGTAGACTTGGTGATGGAAACATGGCACAGTACACGCGACACGCCACCACGCGTGCTGCTCTGGCTGGTTCCCTCCTTGGTCTCACGGCTAGCACTTGCCGTTTTCGCCCGCTTGGCAGCATGCCTGAACGCCGCTGGTGTCGATGCTGACGATGACGGGCCGCAAGAGGAAGAGGAAGAGGAAGAGGAAGATGGCGGGAGAGATAGCGCAGAGGACACATCACGCCACGAACTCACACGCACGGCGGTGAAGCCGAGCGGGAACAGCTCGTCGCGGGTGTGAAACCCGTCGGCGGCAATGATGCGGCCCATGTCCGTCACGGTGAGGGACCCAATGCGAAGGTGGCCCGTCGGACAATCAAAGAACTTGTCATAGGCAGCCCACTCGTCCCGCTCAAACACCACACACCCGAGCACGCCAAACTCTGTCATGATCCGCTGCTGCTTGTCAGTGTGCTCTGTGACAGTAGCACCAGCAGCGTCAACAGTAGCAGCAGCAGCGTCAACGGTACCTGCAGTACCCGAATCATCACATTGGACGCTGCCAACAGTAGCAGGAGCGTGCACAGCAGTAGCAGCAGCGTCAGCAGCGTCAGATCCGGGCGGCGACGACGCATCCACCGTCACATCCATGCTTGTGGTGCGGTGCTTTGCACAGTACACCAAGTGCCCCTCAAGGAACTCGCAGTTGTGTGCAACTGCGCAGGGAAAATGCATGTTGGCATTGCACGATGGCACGTGGCAGCCAACAGTGGCACCCTTCTTCCTGCACGCGGTGCATCGTGACTGCTTGCCGCGCGAAAGGACATCTGAGACGCGCCTAACGTGCTGCACGCGCCCACTGGACTCCTCCCGCTCCAGCCCCGCAGACCACCAGATGCAGTTGAAGTGCACCCACTTGTCCATGCCCACGTTCACCAGTCGGCCGCCCTGGTGCGGCTCTGCGTCGCCTCTACCGCTGCACAGCAGACAGGGGCGCACATCTGTTCCCGCGTCCAGGCGACGCGGTGTGGGCAACGCGTGCTTCCATGCCTGCGCCACGGAGCGAAGCCACTTTACTCGCATCGCGCGGGCACTTGTGTCGTCATCATCATCATCAGCACCCCCAGCACCGCCCTCAGCACCCCCCTTTCCTTTCAAGGCAACCGTTGCCAATGGCCGCAACGAGGATGCCGCCGATGATGATGATGATGAAAGCGACGGCGACGATGCTGCTGTCCTCCTCAGTGTCTCAACAGCAGCTGCGCGTGTTTCCCTGTCCCGCTGCTGCTTGTTGGCTGTGCTGCGTTTGGTTGATCTGGTCACTGACACAATCGGCCCAACGGCAACCGGCCGCAGCGGTGACACAGGCACGCTTGGTTGCGGCTCTGTTGCCACAGCTGTTGTTGCTGCTGCTGCTGCTGCTGTTGCGAGTGTCGCCTCGTCTGCTGGTGCTGACGGTGAAGCCGGGGCAGATGTCGCTGTTGTGGTCATTGCAGACGCGGTTGTGACTGCCCCAGTCTCTGCGCCTTCACGGGAAGTCCCAGGACGCTGCTTCCTCTGCTGCTCAGTGTCTTCCCACGACGAGCCTGGCGTTAGTGGCGCCGAACTGGCTGTGGCAGCAGCGGCCGCCGTGCTGGCTACATCCGCCCCAGTGCCACTTTGGTCAACGGCAGCACCATGTGCACCACGCAAGTTTCCTCTGCCGGTGCCTGCCTCATCCCCCGCCCGGCTGGCTGATGGCTGACTTGCAGATGTGGACGATGCAACCACAGCATCATCATCAACGTTTGCTGGGACATTTGCTCCGGTAGTCATGCCCTCCCCCTCACAGGTGCCAATCGTGGTAGGGACAGAGGAGTTGGTAGTTGTGATGATGGTGGTGGTTGTGCTGGGCATGCTGGTGGTGGTCGGTGTAGGAACGGTTGTTGCCGAAGATATCCCGTTCTCTGTCTCCGTCTTTGCCTCCGTCTTTGTCTTTGCCTTTGTCTTCGTCTTCGTCTTTCGCTTCGTCTTTGGCTCTGCAGCTGACAGCGAGGCTGTGCATCCAGCCTTGCTCTGGTCTTCCCCATTTTCTTCACCACGGCCGCCATCGCTGTTGCTTGGAGGGGAAGATGTAGCGTCATCCTCCGGCTGCAGGGGCGAGACGGCACAGCCGCTGTCAGGGCTGACTGTTCGTCCAACGTCCGTGCCATCGCTGGAGGCCCTCGTGGAGCCCATCCCTTGGCTGGCTCTCTTGCCCGGTTGTTGTTGTTGTTGTTGTTGGTGTTGTTGGTGTTGTTGTTGGTGTTGGTGTTGTTGTTGTTGTTGTTGTTGTTGTTGTTGTTGTTGTTGTTGTTGTTGTTGTTGTTGTTGTTGTTGTTGTTGTTGTTGTTGTTGTTGTTGTTGTTGTTTGTGTTGTTGTTGTTGCTGTCGTTGATCCGTGTGAGCACATTGTTCGTCAAGAGAGTGGGCCTGCTTGGTGTTCTGCGCATGGTCGTGCTTGTGCTTGCGCCGCCGCTTGTGACCATGTTTGTGCTTGTGTTTATGCTTGTGCTTGTGCTTGGTAGGTGATGTCTGGTGCTGCAACATGCTTGACGTCACGGCTCCCGCCTCAGTGCTGCCAGCGCCGTGCCCAGGCTGCGGCGAGCTGTGCTGCTGTTGGTGCGGCTGCTTGAACAAATCAGACACATTGTCCCAAACGGAGCTGCTGTGATTGCTGCCGCCGTGCTGCACAGCGTCGCTAGCAGACGAACAACTTGCCGCTCCCCGCACGTAATGGCCAGCGTTGCTGTTCGTGTGCTGCGGCTGCGGCTGCGGCGGTGCCGGAGGAGCACGTGCTAGGTTCTGCATGGACGCATTCACGCGCTGTAGCAGGTGCATGAGGGAGCCCTGGAGGAAGGATGGCGCGGTTGTTGGCGGGTCCTGCGTTGCCAGCGCAGACCCTTGCGGCTGCCGCTGCTGTTGCGGAGGCCGGTACTGCACTGCCGTTTGCGCATGATGCAATTGAGGCACATGCTGCGCCATGTCCTGTTGCCGCTTTACTTCTTCGTCTTGTTGTTGTTGTTGCTGTTGCTGCTGCTGTCGAGCGAGTAAAACAGACGCCAAGTGCTCGTGGGAGGTGAAGGGTTCAGCCGCAGCTGCAGCCGCCATGGTCGGGTGGGCGACGCTGCTGACGCCACAATTGCCGCCGCTGTTACCATTATTGCTGCTGCTGTTGTTCGCATAGGTGGACTTGAAGAGTGGGTGTGCGACTGGCATGGAATGGGGCAGAGCAACAGCTGCCCGCCCCGCCTGGTGTGCTGTGAGACGAGGGACACTGGGCTGCTCGCGTGGCACTGCCGCTGCCTCATGTGGGGGTTGGTATGTCATTCCAAAACAGTTCAGAAGCTGCTGTTGTTGCTGCTGCTGCTGCTGCTGCTGTTGCAGTGCGCGTTGTGTCTGTAACGACGGCATGAGGGCGGGCGGAAGTGTGCTGGGCACGCTAACAGCCGCCGCACCAGAGGACGGTGTGCGTGGCGGCGAGAAGGACGCGGCGCCCGCTTGCCGAAAAGCGTGCGGTGGTGTGGGGAGGACCACTGGTCGTGGCGGCGAAACGAGCGGCACCGAAGGCGGCTGCGGTGTGCCAGAATTGTGTCCAAAAGTGCCTCCATTGCCGGCAGGGGTCGACGTTCCCATCAACATCTGCTGCTGTTGCCACTGCTGCCATTGCTGTTGCTGTTGCTGCCACTGTTGCTGTTGCTGCTGTTGGCGTTGTTGTGCATGTCGCTGGGACAGTGGGGGGAAGCAGGCGACGGCAGAAACTGGCGATTGAGCAGCTGAAGGCGGCAATGTAGACGCAGCTCCCACCTGAGTCAGGCGGCGAATGCCATTGGTCATGCTGTTCGCCTGCTGCACCGGCAGTGCAGACGCCGACATGGACACAGCCGGGACCGGCAGCGAAAATGGTCCACGCAGTGGCTGCTGGTGGTGCTGGTGTTGTTGGTGGTGTTGTTCGAGTGTGAACGCAGGGTGCGGTTCCAAGCGGTGGGGCCCGGGCATGAGGGATGCCTGTGACATTGCCGACGTGGATGCTGGCAAAGGCAGCGACACCTGGGGCGATGAGGCGGATGTAAGCGGCAAGTATGCCGTCGGCAAGGCGGGTGTTGGAGACGCTTGGACGTTGGATTGCCACTCGCAGAACTTGGCAAACAGGCGAAACGTCTTGGAAAGCCGTGCATCAGGTCCATTGAACAACGCTTGCTGCTCGCGTTGTTGTTGTTGTTGCTGCTGCTGCTGCTGCTGCTGCTGTTGTTGTTGTTGTTGTTGTTGTTGGTGCGTCTCAGGCATCTGCACAAACGAGTGTGGGCTGGGGTGGGGTCGGCCAGCTGTCGTCTTGGACTTCATCTTTGGTTTCTTCTGGCGAGCCGGCGCCGTGCAATTCTCGTCCTCGCCTGCAGCCATCGGGTGCAACCTCTTTCCCTGAACCCTGATCTTGTTCGTGGACGTGACCTTGTCCTTGACCCTGGGCTTGTCCTGGGGCTTGGTCTTGATCTTGCCCTTGACCTTGCGCTTGTCCTTGCGCTTGGGCTGGGTCTTGGTCTTGTTGTCATTGCGCCGTTGCCCTCCTGGGTTTGTCACAACTTGCTCCCCAGGTCGTGCACATGGTGATACGGATGCTGACGATGCAAGGCCCACGTGGCTGCCGCATGTTGGCGCTGTGTCCTTGCTCGCCTGTTGCTGCACGTCTGACGTCGAGACAGCGGGCTTTGGCTGAGTCAGCGTGTCTGAAGTGGACATGGCACGAGGTGCTTCGGTCGGCGCTGTCACTTTCCGCCCAGCAGATGTGAGTGCCGGTGCTGGCTTTGAGGCGGCAGCTGTTGCTTCTGTTGCTCTCGGACTTGCAGCTCTGTTGAGCAAAGTCGCAGCCGTGTCGAGCACGGTTGGTGCTGCTTCCGCTGCTGTTGCTGTTGATGCAATTGCTACAGTTGCTGCAGTTGCAGCACTGCTGGCCGCAACGGAGGAGACGGCGGCAACCGGAGTTGCTGTGTCTGTCGGCGCTGTTGTCGTGGCACGCTGTTTGCAACTCGAAACTGTGCCCTCCTGCATTTCAGCATGATCATGTTGATTTGCCTGTGCTGGCACCCCTTCAGGCTGCGGGGTCCTATCATCATTGCTTCGTGTGCTAATCGGTGTGGCCTTCCCCTCGTTCTTCTTCTCGTTCTTCGTCTGCTGCTGCTGCTGTTCCTGCGTCCCGTTTGTTGCTAGTGCCTTGTCGTCTGTGTTGCTCTCCTTCTTCTTGCCCTTGTCGTGGTTCCTCTCCTCTCGCCCTTCCCTTCTGTTGCCTTCTTCATCCCGCTGCTGCTGCTGCTGGTGGTGGTGGTAGTGGTGGAGATGATTCATGGCCGTGCCAGCACGCGTACCATGATCGCTGCTCGCCGCTGCCGCTGCGCGCTCATTCGGTGGCTGTGTCGCAGCGCCCTTCGAAACGCATGTGGGACACTCGTACCTGTATCGTCAAAACCAAAGCCAGCGGGTGAAATGAGCAACGCGCGCGCACACACACACATGTGGGGGGGGGGGTGAAGAGTGTGAATCGGAAAAGCATTATCAACTGCACTGCACGTTCAGCATAGACGCATTCACGAGGGCACTGTGTGTGTGTGTGTGTGTGTGTGTGTGTGTGTGTGTGTGTGTGTGTGTGTGTGTGTGTGTGTGTGTGTGTGTGTGTGTGCGCGCGTGTGTGTTTGGCGGTGTGCAAACATGTGAAAAAAAGCGCACGAGCTAGCTTGCTTGCAAACGCGAGGGCGCTCACCCATTCTCAATGTACTTCTTGCGAGTGCGGCGCGATTTGATGAGCGGGTCGCAGTGGTCGTGGACAAGGCCTTTGCACGCGTTGCACTGAAGAATGTACTGCAACGACAGCTTGATCTCAAATTCGTCCTTGCACACGGGGCAGTGCTGTGTGTCCTGTGAAATGCACATCAGTGGATGAGATTGGTTGTGAGCAGCTGTGAATGTTCGGCTGGTCAGTTTACGACAAGAGTGGGACGTGGCACAAATCAAACAGCACACAGCAGCAAGTTATGGAAATGCCAACCAAATAATACACCAGCACACGGCGCCGCCAGCGAGCTACACAGTTGGCATTCAACCCGCAAACACGTGCATGCATGCACGCGCCACACGTAGCTCTGCACCTGTGCAAGAGTGCAGTTCATGCAATAACGCCAGTCAGAGCTGCGTGCTGCTTGCCAGCGACGGCACATGCTACACTTGATGCACCTGTACATGAGTGGAAACACACAAGGGGTTTAGGAATGGCATTGGTGTGTTGGCAAGACAGCAGGGTGCACATGTGTTCACAGCGAACGTGGTGTGGCGTGCAAAATGTGAGCAAGAGAATAGCGCAGCAGAGCCACAGGGACAAAGAAAGGGCGAATGTGTGTGTGCGTGTGTGTGTGCGTGTTGTGTGTGTATTGCGCGCGCAAGAAAAGGTTGTCATTGTGGGCGAGCAACAGAGAGCCCTGTGTGGGACGAGCGCAAGTCTTTTCGTTGACGCTGCACCGCTGCAAAAGCGATGATCAAAGGCATGGCCACAATACTCACTCTGGGCAGACCCAGTGCTTAGTGTCCATGGACGGATGGCTTGGTGGGATGCATTCTGTGTGGCAAATTGTCTGGCAGCGACTGCACACAACGTGCTCTGCCGTGTCCATGTTGATGATGCGGCCAATCACAAGATCAGGCGCCAGCGCACGCGCACAGCACTGGCACTGCAGACATCGCGGGCACCTGCGTCACATGGGCAGCCGTGCACGTCGAGGGGACGGGGCAGCGATTGCAAGCACGCGCGAGGTGAGGTTGCAGCCAATATCATGCAAGCAAAAGCGGAGCCGTTGGGGTCGTGTAACTAAAGCAAAAACATGCTCACATTGCGCACGCATGGCATGCTGCACGCAGAAGCTTCAGATGCACGCTTGCGCACACGCACAGGAACACACACGCAAAACCATGACGACGCACCGGAACTTTGAAAAGTCGTAGTGCCACGCGTGGCGGTAGGTGGTTGGAACCGTGTCCAGGAGACAGCCGAGGTGAAACGCCTCACAGCACGTGTCGCAAAACACCATCAGGTCGTCATCGCCGCCAACACCGGCCGAGTGGCACAGCGTGCACATGTCAATGGTTGCCAGTCTGGGGTCAGAAAAGTACACGGGTTGGAACACCGCAAGCAACTTGAGCGCCTCCAACAAGCGCGCTGGGGCCTACAACGAGTACAGCGGACGTGTGCGCACATGTACATATGAGTTGTGTGTAACAACAAAAGCAGCGGCAGGAGCCGGCGTCATGTCCACAACCTTGGCCGTGTTTCGAGCAAAGCTGCGACGAAAGGCGTTGTGTTGTGTGATTTGAGTAGTCAGCAGCGTATCAGAGTGAGTAACTTGCATGTGCGTACAGGTGCGAGAAACATATCAACTCCAACACAGAGTGGATGAGAGGGAGGGGGGACGTGGATGGAAGGAATGATTGGAGCAGGTGGGGAGGAAACGTTCGCATTCACCAACGAGCAACTTCGACGGCATCACACGCACAATCGAAAGGAACCAGCCCCACAACTGGTTTTCACTCCAACGCAACGCAACTTACATACACGTTCACAGAAATCCACACAACACATCTTACACACACACACACACACACACACACACACACACACACACACACACACACACACACACACACACACACACACACACACACACACCACATGCAGCACAGGGGCACATACCGGCTGTTCCGGGTCTGTAACGGGCCTGACAATCTTGAGGTCTGGCTCGACGCTGTAGCGCGGGGGCGTTGGCCGTGGCAGCGCTTTCACCACCCGGCGGGCAGGCATGGTACCCGACAGGCACGGCAGCACGGCGGCAAGCTGCTCGTTGAGGAGGCAGGTGGAGCAGTGGTAGGGGTCGTCGGTAGCGCCCAGGCGACGGAGGCCAGCGTCATCCAGACCCTCACACTCCGCGTGCACCCACGTCTGTGCGCAGGAGGAGGGGCAGGGAGCGATTAGTGGCAGTAGCAAGCCCAACGGATGATAGTGTGTGTGTGTATGTTTGTGTGTGTATACGGAGAGAGAGTGTGTGTATACGGAGTGTGTGTTTGTGTGTGTGTGTGTGTTTGTGTGTGTGTGTGTGTTTGTGTGTGTGTGTGTGTGTGTGTGTGTGCGTGTGTGTGTGTGTGTGTGTGTGTGTGTGTGTGTGTGTACGGTGAACAAAGAGCCTCCTCAGGAAATACAAGCCAGTAACAGCTATCACACGTGTCGCGAACACAAACACGATGCAATCCCCCACCCTCCTCTCATGGATCCACTCATTGACACGTGTGAGCTTACATCACACGTCTCGCAGAGAACCATGTCCGGGGTGTCATCACGATAGGAGACTTTGCACACAGGGCACACGTTGCCACGCTTGCGTAGTTGAGAGCACGGCGTGCAGTAGTCAAAGGTGGCGGACCACGAAGACACCTGATGGCACAAAGGAAGAGCGGAGCGAGCGAGCGAGCGAGTGAGTGAGTGAGTGAGTGAGTGAGTGAGTGAGTGAGTGAGTGGGGCAGAGAGAATGTGCGCGTGGGTATCCGAGAGACCAAGAGACCGAGGGAGCGCGTGGCACAAGGCAAGCTGCATGCAGCTTCGTACAGTACATGCTGGCACGGCAATAAACAAACAAGCGCATGCACATACGCACATCAAGCAAACACAAGCACAAACGCGAAAACAAGCGAACAAAACAGTTGACACAACACAACACATGTGTTCGTACCTCGTTGGCCGTGCGGTGGCAATCGAGGCATCTGCGGCAGTCCTCACAGCAGTAGGATGGCGGTCGCTTGGGCAGGCCGGCACAGCCGGGATGAAACTCTTTCCCACACACACGACACGCCATGCGCGCCCGCGAGCGAGCGGAGGCCGTGGAATCACACCGGGAGCACGTCGTGCAGTCGGCACACAGCCAGCACGTGCGCACACTCTCCTCGTTGGCGGCAAACAGGGGGCTGCTTGGCTGCATGCCGGCGCAGCGCGGATGAAAGCGACGGGCACACGCCATGCACAGCAGCATGTCCTTGTGCTCCTGCATCTTCGAGCACGACGCACACTGCAGCTCGCGCGCCAGGTCAAAGCCGGCGGGGATGTTGGTGGTGTCGACGGCAAGCACAGCGTTTATGTCCTCGACAGACGCGTGGCGCCGACAAAACACGTGAAACGTGCTTGGCAGCATCACTGCCTTTGCTGCTGTGATGCACGGGTAATGGTACACCTGCATGCAATCCACGCTTGCACCACTGCCGCGCTTCTGGCCCTTGGGCCCACTCTCGTACAGGGAGGAGCACGCACACGGGATGTTGGCACCAGGCTCGCCGCAGTAGGTGCACTTGACTGCCAACGAGGCAACAATGGCGTGGCGGGCGTTCTTGTAGACAGTGTTGCCGTCCGCATCTGTGCTCGGCCGCACGCTCGGGGCCCAGCCAAGGCACGGGTGGTGCACGTGCGCCATCCTGCCCTCGAGGCGGTAGGGCCCAAACGCATCCGCAAACATGGGCCGGAGAAGACCGTGGCAGCCGAGCAGGCAGAACGCACACTGGTCGCGGGCACGCTTGGCGCGGGCGCGGGCGTTGGCGAGAAACGGATTGGACACCATCAAGGAGCGCTCATCAGAACCACCACCAGCGTTGGCGGAAGCGTGGTCGCGCTTCGGCTTGCTGCTGCTTCTGTTACTGTTACCGCTGCTCTTGCTGTTACTGGTACTGCTGCTGCTGCTGCTGCTGCTCTTGCTGCCGGGCTGGGCAACCGCCCGCTTGGGCGGCCGAGAAGAGGATGAGGGGGAGGGTGTGGAGGATGAGGATGACCGGAAACTGGAGCCAGTCGCGCCCTTGGTGGTCTTGTTAGCAGCGCCGCTGCTGCGTCTGCTGGTGGTGCTGGTGGTGTGACGAGTGCTCTTGGCTGCACTGCCACCTGCGCTGCTGCTGCTGCTGCTGCTGCTGCTGCTGCTGCTGCTGCTGCTTCTCCTGTTCCTGGCGCTGGTGGTCGTCGCCCTGTGCGAGGTGGCCTTGCCGCCTGTGAGAGATGTTGCCGTCGCCTCTGGGGCGGGCAATCCACGCTGCTGCGCCGGCTGCTGTGGCCCCGGCGCGTCACAGATGGCGTCGAGCATGCGCGCGGGAACGCGAATGGCCTGGCGGAGGTTTGACGGCCGTGCTCGCTGGGGTGTTGGAATTGGGTTGAGTGGCACGGGCACGAGGCTTCTAGACGCCCGCCGGGACAGCAGCGGCACCGCGGCGACTGTTGTGCATGCTGGGGTCGTTGTCGCTGCTGCTGCTGCTGGTGCAGGCGTTTCTTGTGTTGTTGGTGTTGGTGTTGGCTTGGCGAACGTGCTTCTTCGTCTCCTTCTTGCAGTCGGGGCGACAGGCGACGGCGACGGGACCGCTCGTTGCGTGGTCGGTGTGGCTGCTGTTGTTGCTGTTGTTGCTGTGTTGGTGGCTGTTGAGACCTTGCTGCCACGGCGACTGCTTGCTGCCGGCCGCTGTCGCTCCTCATCCCTCGTGCGTGTGTGTGAGGCCGCTGTTGATTTGGCGCGTTTACAGCGGGGCCTGTCACAAACAGCAAGCACTTGCGGCGGCGGCGGCGGCGATGTTGCTGCAGTTGCTATTGATGATGATGATGATGATGATGATGATGATGATGATGATGATGATGATGATGATGATGATGATGATGATGATGATGATGATGATGATGATGATGATGATGATGATGATGATGATGGTGGTGGTGGTGGTGGTGGTGGTGGTGACAATGGTGATGATGATGGGGATGGGGATGATGACGGGTGAGAGCTGTCCGTGGTGTAGCGCTTGGGGACGAGAGTCTGGCGTCCGTGTACGCGGTCAACATCGATGCTGCGGTACACGGGAACCATCTGCACGCTTTCTTCGTTCCTGCAGCACACAGAGCGCAAAGGAGGAGAAGTAAGGTGAGCTGCGAGCACCTGACATGTACGCGCGAGGCGCAGCCGAGCCCGTTCATGCCAGCGCCCACACGCCCACACGTACTCATTGGAGAGGAGCCGGACGGCTGAAGGAGAGAGCGGCTTCCACTGGTCTGCCGTCTTCTTGAAGCCTTTAAAATGAACACGCACGCGCCCCTTCTTCTCGTCCACTTTCACCACTGTCGCCGCAAACCTGTTGGTGCGCACGTGCGTGCATGCGTGCGTGCATGCGGGCGTGCGTGTGCGCGTGTGTTGTGTGTGCGTATGTGTTGTGTGTGAGCACGTGCAAGCAAGTACGGGCGCGTGCGTGCTTGTGTGTGTGTGTGTGTGTGTGTGCGCCATTGCGTTGGCCCAGTGCAGGCGAGACAATGAAATGCTCTCACCAAGCTTTGCCATCGTGGGCCACGACAAGGTGTCGCTGTTTTCGCGCGATGTTCAAGGCCTTCAACACGTGCGGGATGGCGGCCGACGTCATCTGCAGGTCACCGCCATCTTCCTCTTCATCCTTGCTGGCACTGCTTGTGTTTGTGTTGCTGTTGCTGTTGCTTGTGTTTGTGGTGTTGTTGGTGTGTTTGCTGGTGTTGTTGCGATTGTTTGTGTGTGAGATGTTGCTGTTGCTTTTGCTACTGTTGGCTGTTGTCGCTGTATCAGACAAGCTCCACCGGCGAGGTCGTGGCGTCCTTGAACTGCGACGCGCCGGTCCCTCGCTCATATCTGCATGTCACCGTGCAATCTCGACGCGGCGCTTCCCTGGTGTCCGACGTGAGCGGTGTCCCGCCGTTGGAGGGGAAGGGGGCGCACTGGAATACAAGGGCGCGCGCAGAGTGTTTGGGAAGAGAGGGGGGAAAACAACGCGCGTATGAGATTGCAAGCAAGGCATGACATGCGGATCGTGTATTGGATGTGGTGCGTGGTCAATTGCACAAGAGTCATAGACAAACCAGTGCGTGCGTGTGTGTGTGTGTGTGCGTCAAGTGATGGAATAGGGCTGTCAAGGTCGAAGTGGTGGCGATGGTGAAGTGGAGAAGGGAGGAGGAGGAGGGTGGTTGATGCACAACAACACTTGAGCTTGAAGCACGCAGTGCGTGTTGTACACAACAAGACTTGATGGAAACAAGGCTCCATTGTTCGCAGGTGTGTCGGGCAACCGCTGTGCGTACATGCACCACATCGACACATGGACACACTTCGACACACGGGCGCGCGCACATCGGCACACACTCACACATCGACACACGTGCACGCACGTACACACACACACACACACACACACACACACACACACACACACACATCGACACAAACGCATACGTCCACACACATGTCGATACACACACACACGTACACACACACATGTCGATACACACACACACACACACACCAGGCGTATGGACGTTGTTGTTGTTGTCGGCGACACTTGTTGCTGGCTCCTCACAGCACGCACGCTAGTCGACATGCAAGTTGCGCGCAAGGCGGGCTCCAACTCGCCAGTGGCACCCGAAGCTTCGGGGGCTGAACGGCGATAGTAGAAAGCACGCGGTCGTGGCTCACGAGTCCACTCTGTTGTCGATGGCTCAGCAACAAGGCTTGTTGTCGAGGTTGTTGTGGCCGAATGCACGTACAGATGAGATGTGGGTGTGGTCGTGGTGTAAATGGCGTGGAGTTGCACGCGCACGCGAGATGTCCGTGCTGCACACGCCACTCACTCGCGCTCTCGCACCCTTGATCAACCAACCAAACCACAAGCCGTCACAACACCACAAACAAACAACGTGGTGGGGGAAGAACAGTCGCTGTTGCGCTCTTTCTGTTGTTTGTGTGTGGTTGGGGCTGCCGCTCGTGATAATAATGTTTGTTTGGTACGATTTGATGCGGCTTTATGGTTTACAAACAGCGCCGAAAAAAAAGGTGAGACAAAAGATTTATGGCGATACTACCAACAAATTGTCGAGGCAACGTTGGCGTGGCGTTTTTTCTTGTTGCTTGCTTTTTCTGCCGCCGCGCGTGCCCGCCTGCAGCAAACACACACAGCAGTGTCTATCTGTGGTTGCTGTGCGAGCGTGCGCGCATTCTCCTCTTTTCCCCCCTCTTTCCCCTCCCCTCCCTTTCCCTCTCCTCAACTTCCCGCCACCCTCACCCAGTTGCTCACCACCGCGTGTGGCCAGCTACGCGTGTGTGTGTTTCTGGGAGTGTGCGAGCTCTTCGAAGGGACCCCCACTCCACTCCACACCACACCACTCCACTCGACACCACATCCCCCCCCAACAAGCCTGCCTTTCCTCTTCCAACCCATCATTTGGTTGCCTGCAAGGAAGACACTCACGCATCTTGAGGGAGAGCAGCAACACGACGTGCCCTCCGCTTCTCACACGGACACACAAGCCCTTCCACAACCACACGCAACCCCCCCCCCCCCCCCACCTTCCCACCACCACCACCGACCGCTCAAACCCGCTTTGTGTGTGAGCACCCTTCCACCAAGTAACCCGCACCACGGCGCCCCTCGCTTAACATCGGCCAGGTGTGTATTGTATTGTTCCGCAAGGCCACAACCTGTGCACACACACACACACACACACACACACACACACACACACACACACACGACACACACACACAC